AAAAGACTTTGAAAGAGAAACTGACAACATGCTCATGCACTCTGCCCCTGGTCCTAATTTGTGGAATTCAATGTTCATAAAAAAAATTTGTTTAAAGTACTAGTAGTGCAAGCACTCTGTGTAATATGGAGAATGAGCCTGGATACAAGGAAGATATCACCAGATATAGCCCCCTCTGCACAAGGGAAGTAGTAAAGCTTTGGCAAAAACTTATAGACCAGTTGCACTAACATTACACATAATAAAAGTCTTTGAAAGAGTGATTAGGTATCAAATTTCCAGTTTTATGTAAAATAATGAACTTTACAACCCAGGACAACATGGATTTAGAGCAGGAAGATCCTGTCTGTCACAGTTACTCAACCACTATGACAGAATCACAGAAGCCTTAGAGAAAAAGCAAAATGCAGATATTGTATACACAGACTTTGCAAAGGCTTTCGACAAATGTGACAATGGAGTGATAGCCCATAAAATGAGATCAATAGAAATAACGGGTAAAGTGGCACCTTGGATTTTCAACTTTGTCAAACAGAATGCAGAGAGTGATGGTCAATCAAGTAAAATCAAGCTCAAGTGCAGTAAAAAGCTCTGAACCCCAGGGCACAGTCATAGCACCACTGCTATTTCTCATTCTTATCTCGGATATAGACAAAAATACTAGTCACAGCTTCGTGTCATCCTTTGCAGATGATACAAAAATCAGCATGAAAACTGCCACTGTAAAAGACACTGAAAACAACAATCACATATAATAAAGTCTTCGATTGGACAACTGAAAATAACATGATGTTTAGCAGTGGTAAGTTCCAGGTATTTAGGTATGGTGGAAATAAGGAACTTAAAGAAACACAGGGTACAGGATGCAATCAGACCTACCCATAGAAGGAAAGCAACAGGTAGAAGACCTGAACATTATGATGTCTGACGACCTGACATTCAGTAAACGTAACCGAGCAAATATAGCTACAGCCAGATAAATGATAAGATGGATTATGAGAATGCTCAAATCCAGGGACCCCATAGCAATTTAATACTATTTAAATCACTAGTGCTGTCCCATCTAGAGTATTGCTCAGTACTCACTTTCCCTTTCAGAGCAGGAGAGATCTCTGAATGAGAGGAAATACAGAATACATATATGGCACACATAGAAATGATAAAACATCTAAATTACTGGGAACGTCTCAAAGCTCTTAAAATGTACTCACTGGAAAGGAGACAAGAAAGATATCAAATAATATATACAGTGGTACCTCGGATTATGAGCGTCCCTGTTAAAGAGTTTTTCGGAATATGAGCAAGATTTGCTCGGAAAATTTACATCAGAATATGAGCGTTTCCTCAGAATACAAGGGTGTTGATACACGTACAGGCCGACCTAGCGTGTGGTGGCACGACGATCGACACTCAGTTTACCAGTACTTCGCGCCCAGTGACTATCACGCCTGAATTCTTCATAAGGATTTACCGTTTCATTTTGAATTTTTTGCTATTTGAGCATAAAATTTGTTATTATATATCTCACCATGGGCCCCAAGAAAGCTAGTAGTGAGGATCAAGCCAAGAAATCGCATGTGAGGATGACAATAGAGGAAAAACAAGAGATCATTCGGAAGCATGGAAATGGTGCACATGTTGTTGAACTTCGTAGGCAGTACAACAAATCCACGTCAACAATATGCACTATACTTGCCAAGAAAAAGGACATTATGAGTGCTAAGTGGCAAAAGGCGTAAGAACAATAACGAAACAAAGACCACAAATACTTGAGGATGTGAAAAAGTTGTTATTAATTTGGATACATGAAAGGAGTTAAAGGATGATAGTGTTTCCCGAGGCCATCATTTGTGAGAAGGCCTGGGGTATTGCACGAAGACCTGGTAAAGAAAACCCCTGGAATGAGTGCAGATGCGATAGACTTTAAGGCAAGCAGGGGATGGTTTGAAAAATTTAGAAAAAGAAGTGGTATTTATAGTGTTGTGAGGCACGGGGAGTCCACCAGCTCAAACCAGCGGCTGAAAGATTTATTGAAGAATTAAAAGAGTTTGCAGAGGCTGAGGGATATCTACCGCAACAAGTGTTTAATTGTGATGAGACAGGACTGTTCTGGAAAAGACTGCCTAAGAGGACATACATTACCAAGGAGGAAATATCATTGCCCGGACATAAGCCTATGAAAGATAGGTCAACACTTGTGCTGTGTTCAAATGCGAGTGGCGATTTGAAAATTAAACATTTGCTAGCGTTTCATTCTGAAAATCCAAGGGTTTTCAAACAGTATAAAGTGCAGAAAACCCAAATGTGTGTGATGTGGAGGGCTAATAGTAAGTCATGGGTGACTAGGATTTTTTTTTCGGAGTGGGTGAATGAAGTGGTGTGCCCTGCCATAGAAAAATATCTGCAAGAGAAACATTTGCCACTCAAGGCCCTGTTTCTCCTCAACAATGCTCCTGCTCATCCTCCAGGCTTGGAAGGTGAATTATTGCACAGATACAGTAAATTTCTCACAGTAAAGTTCCTTCCTCCTAACACCAACCACTCCTCTGATTCAGCCTATGAACCAGAAAATCATAGCGAATTTTAAGAAACTTTATGAAAGGGCACTTTTCCAGAAATGTTTTGAAGTGACTGAAGCCACAAACCTCACCCTCAAAGAGTTCTGGAAACACCATTTTAACATTTGTAGTGCTTTAAAACTCGTTGACAAAGCCTGGCAAGAAGTGACTCAAAGAACCCTGATCTCTGGCTGGAGAAAATTGTGGCCTGAATGTGTGACAGAACTTGACTTTGAGGGGTTTCAGCCTGTAAATGATGTGCCTATTGTTGAGGAAATTGTTACTCTGGGCTGGCAAATGGGCTTGTAATTGGATGGTCATGATGTGGAGGAGTTGGTGGAAGAACACAACGAAGAACTGACCACCGAAGAACTCCAAGCCCTTCAAAAGGAACAGCAAGAAGACACAGCTGAGGATGTTTCTCCAGTGGAGGAGGATGAGGCAGCAGCGAATGTCCTTTCCGCAACCATTAAGAAGTGGTGTCAGATGTGGGAAGAAATGCAAACTTTTATTGAAATGACTTACCCAGAGAAAGCTGTAGTAGGCAGTTGCATTAATCTTTTCAATGACAATGTAATGCCTCACTACAGAGACATCTTCCGAAGAAGGGAAAAACAAACATCAATGGACCACTTTGTTGTGAGAAAATCGAGCAGTGAGCCACAACCAGGACCTAGTGATATGCAGGCAAAACATGCCAGAGAATGCACTCCAGAGAGGTCCTCACTGCCTCATGTTATAATGGAAGGAGACTCCCCTTTCAAACAGTAACACCTCTCCTCCTTCCCCCTCCTCACCATCTTCCATACGCCAACAGCAGTCATCAGCAAGGGGTAAGTAATAACTTGAACTTAGTTTTGTAGTGTAGATTTCGATGAATTAGGTATAAAATTTAGTTTAAAGTGGGATTCTTGGGTAGTCAGGAATGGAGTAATTCATCCCCCATTATTTTTTATGGGGAAATTAGCTTCGGTTTACGAGTTTTCGGATTACGAACTGTCTCCAGGAATGGATTAAACTCTTAAACCAAGGTACCCCTGTACACTGAAGATACCTGAAGGCCGTGTCCCAAATTTGCACAGTAGAATAGCAACATACTGGAACAAAAGGTACAGAAGGAAATGCAGAATAAAACCAATGAGTAGAATAAAACTAATGAGTAACTACACTTAGGTAATTCCACTTAGGCAATTAATGAAATAGCCCAATTAGAGAGCACTGTCTGAACATTAAGGGACCACAGCTGTTCAACACCCCACCCAGCAAGCATTAGAAATATTACCAGAACAAAGCTGGATGTATTCAAGAGGCACTTGGACAGGTTCTTACAAGAAGTGCCAGACCAACCAGGCTGTAGTGGATATGTAGGCCAGCGGGCTGCTCCAAGCAACAGCCTGCTGGACCAAGTAATCAAGTCGAGCCTGGCCTCAAGCTGGGCTCGGGGAGTAGAAGAACTCCTGAAACCCTCTCCAGATATGCTCCAGGTAAAGCACTTTTTTCTCGGGTATCTACAATTTATCTCTTCAAATGAAACAGGAATGTATATTTTCCATGCAAGAAGAATCCCAATTACTATAAAGAAACTGAGCAGCATCCACTTAGGTAGTCATGTGGACAGCACCCACTTATGTCATTATGTGGGCAGCAGTTTTCACAGGTCACTTTCTGTAATTAGGTTAGTCCAATATCTAGTTTTTTGGGGAAGAATTAATTACAGTAAAGTACATTAGAACATACAGAAAACTTTAGTTGTTGCAAGGAATTGTAAATTAATGCAGTCTTATGAAAGGTGGTTCACCAGCATATTATTGTCTCGTGGTTCAGCATTACAGTTTCTTAATTAATAAATTCAGCGAATGATTAATTAGAAAAAGGGGATCTGACATCACATGGCTGTTTTAAAGCCCAGATTTGACAACATCCCAGATTTGAGTTGAGGGCATTGTGATGCTAATTTCCCAGGGTACATACACAGTATGATGCATAGTGCATACAGGTCATTTTGTTCATAAATTCTTGGTTTAAAACTGTAGCCTATACAGTACTGTATATTTTGTAGCTGTCATGTATAAACACAATAGCAGCATACAATATCATTAGCAGGATTAGGCTAATTAGACAAACTAGGCTAAATTGGGTTTTTAAACTTGTCTTTGAACCTTTTAATATATGAAGTGAGCAATCTCTCATGAGTAGTGAATGTTGAGGTACAGCAAAGAGCTATCAAAGACAGGGTTTATGGTAATTGGCATTAACTGTGGAAAATAACAGAGAACATCAGAAATGAATAACATGTTGAGAATTAAGGAGCAATTTATAGATGTGCAGTTATTTCACCCTAGACACACTTTTGGTCCTACCTAATATATAAATATTGCATCAAAGGAGATTAAATCGACCTAAAATTCTTATTGTACTGAGAAGTTTGGCTGCTAATCTTACCTCATAACTGTGACATTGCTGTTGGTAAGCTCTTGTTGAATTAACAAGGAAATCGATACACAAGTCCAGTAGTGGCTTAGGATGCATTTAAATATTTATGTAATTGTGCTTTGTAACTTTTTTCAGGTTTCGTGCATTTTATAAGTTAAAATTGTTTGGTTATATTTTCTTCTTTAAGATGCACACTTGTGTAGTTTGAAGCCTGTTGCTCGTCTGGTGACTGCAGTTGTATTATTTCACCGTATTATGTAGCTGGATGGCTGCAGTTGTATTACTGCACATTACTATGTGGCTGGGTTACTGCAGTTGTATTGTTGCACGTCACTGTGCGACTGCGTTACTACAGTTGTATTATTGCATATCACTGTGCAGCTGGGTAAGGTTTGGGTGTTATCACTTGGAGGTTCTTTTTCTTGTGAATGATAGTTGGTTTGTGATAAGGTTCTCGTGCCGATGACTGCACGGGATGGTGCAGGGCCACCCATTAGGCAAGACTCGAGGCTCCAGCTCAACGCTGATTTCCTTTATGATATGGGAACCAGCTGAAAGATCTTCTTGTAGTTGCTGATAGTTGACTGAAATGCGACGACGAAACTAGAGAAGGCACCGTGTGATCTTGCTCTAGGGTTTGGCCACCGTGTGATCTTGTTTTAGGGTTTGGAGCACCGTGTGATCTTATTTTAGGGTCTTGGCATCTTATGATCTTGTCGTTGCAAAGGTCTGGGCACCGTGTGATCTTATTGCAGAGGTCTGGGCACCGTGTTGTTGTTGTTGATTTAGGGACGAGTGGCTGTTGTTGTGTTGATAGCGTCAGCGGATCGTCCCTCCTGTAAGCTTAACGTTTTCTTTGGTTGGTCGTCTAGGATGATTTCAATAGGGTTTTTTTTCTTTAGATATATGTACAAGCGTTTTTACATACTTGTACAGCCACTAGTACGCGTAGTGTTTCGGGCAAATTCTTAATCCTATGGTCCCTGGAATACGACCCAAACGAAGAATTGTTTTTTTACAACCAATTCTAACATTCAATACAGCACTATAGGTACTAATTTATCATTCATCATTTTAACAGAAACTTGGCTAAGTAAATACTATACCCAACTCTACAATTTAGCTGGTTATAAAGCCATTCATAACTGCAGGCCTAATAAAAAAGGAGGTGGCACAGTAATATATTACAAAGATACCTTCATCTGCAATAGTGTCATCAGTGATAGAGACGACTATTGTGAATATACCTTTGCCAAGTTCTCCAGTAAATCCCTTAAAAAAGCAAGAGTAACACCAGTTCATAAAGGAGGTAATCCGGCAGACATAAACAATTATAGACCAATATCAAACCTACCCATACTATCAAAAATATTTGAAAAAAATTATCTACAAACAGCTTTACTCCTACCTCGTAAAATTTGACATTCTTAGCCCCTGTCAGTTTGGCTTCCGCTCCCAAAAGAGTACCAACGATGCAATTATTAGTCTCCTTGATATAATTTACTCAACCCTTGACAAAAATGAGTTTCCGATTGAACTCTTCATTGGCCTGAGAAAGGCCTTTGATACTGTTAATCACAATTACCTCTTACGTAAACTCCATCATTATGGAATTCGAGGCCATACACTGGACTATATCCAATCCTATCTTAGTGATAGACACCAATGTGTAGGCATCAATAATATAACCTCTCCCACTCTACCAATAACCGTTGGAGTGCCACAGGGCAGCATTTTGGGACCTCTCTTATTTCTTATTTACATCAATGATCTGCCTATAACGTCTCTAACATTCTGAAACCTATTTTGTTTGCTGATGATACTACCCTCATCTACTCTAACCCCAACCCACATACACTAAATAATGTTGTTAATAATGAATTTAAAAAAGTCTACTTATGGATGTTAACCAACAAACTAACACTTAACATAGAAAAGACCTACTACATCTTATTTGGAAGCAAATCTACAAATGCAATTCAGCTTCAGATAGACAATGTAAACATTAGCAATAAAAATGATGGAAAGTTTCTTGGTCTATTCCTAGACAAGAGACTCAATTTCAGTACCCACATACAACACATAACTAAGAAAGTCTCTAAAACAGTTGGTATACTCTCCAAAATCAGATATTATGTACCTAACTCTGCTCTCATCTCTCTATATTATGCACTAATCTATCCCTATCTTAATTATGGTACCTGTGCATGGGGTTCAACCACTGGAAACCACCTCAAGTCCATCATTACCCAGCAAAAATCTGCTATCAGAATAATAACAAATTCTGCTTTCAGACAACACTCAGCCCCCTTGTTTAACTCCCTAAACATGCTAAACATAATCTCACTCCACAAATTCTCTTGTGTCAACTACATTTACAAAACCCTGTTCTTAAATGCAAATCCTGCTCTGAAACTCTCCCTGGACAGATGTAATAGGACCCATTATCACCACACCAGAAATATGAACACTGTTTTTTCCCAAAAAACGGTGGGTTTTCTGAGGGAAGAGAAAATGTATGTCTGGAAGCTGACTTTAACCGCCCCAGCTGCGCGCGCAACGAGCCGAGGTTATATAAGCCGGCCTGCAGACTGCGTGGCCCCCCCTTCCCGACAAGCCAGCAGCTGCTCACTTACAAAACGCTCACCCTCCTCCCGGGATCCTCTGTATCCCCTGTTTTATTTTGAAAGGGACGGCCCACAGACGTGCTCAAGGGGCACTTGTTCTAGCTTGCTAAGCATTTGCTGTATCTTTGGGGGTGCTCCGCCGGAACCCCCAAAGTGATAAGCCTGCAGATAGCTAAGAAATATTCCCATGAATTGTAATTAGTGTAATTAAATTAATGCAACTTTCATTTACTAGCTATAGATGTAGTTATTAATTGTAATTGATTTAATACTTTATCATTATAAGGATTATTCATTATAATTATTCTTTAATACTTTATTGTTATGCACTAGTCAATAATTATTTATCATTCATCCTAATTAGCTATTTGATTCATTAAAAATAATTGCTTATCATTATACTATTTGTTATTATTATTATTTATTATATAATAATAATAATTAATTTATTATTTGTTAATTTATTATATATTAATTTATTATTTACCATTATAAAATAAACAAGTCCTCAATCTGAGCACGTTTTCTTCCAACCTCAGAAAAAATATAAATATCTCTTTGATATCCCCAGAGTCCAACTTAATTTGTGTAAACACTCTATGCAAATAAAGGGACCCAGTCTATGGAACTCACTCCTTATTGAATTGAAAAGCTGTCCAACTTTTGCATCATTCAAAAACAATACTAAAACGTACCTAATTTCATCTTCATAGTTTTTTACCTTTTGCTTTAAAACTGCACTGTATCTATTGCTACCCAATCTCCCAATCTTTATGTACCCAATCTGAACATCTTTATCATTGCGATCATTGCTATCTTCTTATATGTACTGCCAATCTGCTGTATGGTGTCTATTAATCTTGTTTAAATTACCAATCAAGCTGTCAATGTAATCAATCAGAGCTTTAATATGCCAGTGTGCTTTAATATACTTACTAATCTCTCTCATCTCATTTTTTTTTCTTGCAATGTATTTGTTATCATTTTATTAATTCTGATAGAATTTACCTACTTAAAATTATCTGTTAGATTAAGGACCTGCCAGGAAACGCTGCGCGTACTAGTGGCTTTACAAGAGTGCAATTACTGTACTATGCTATGTATTCTCACAAACCCAATGTACCTTCTTGTATATAAATAAATAAATAAATAAATAAATAAATAAATAAATAAATAAATATTACTAACCTTCTGAAACCTATATTCATGTTCAAGTTCAAGTATGTTTACTGAGATAAGCAATAAATATATCTCAAAGGGATAGAGTAGCTTAGGCTATTTATTTATTTATTTATTTTATTTATTTATTTATTTATGCATATACAAGAATGTACATAAGGAATGTGAGGATACAAATATGGTAATTACAGTCTTGTAAAGCCACTAGCACGCGCAGCGTTTCGGGCAGGTCCTTAATCTAAGAAAATTTTAAGGAGGTAAATACTTGCAAAATTTATAGACAAAAAATGATAACAGATTACATGGAATGAAAAAAAAGATGAGAGAAAATTATAGGTACAGTATATTAAAGCACATAGGTAGCTATGATTGATTGCAATGACAGCTTAAAATGGTAGTTGACAACAAATTGGTAGGCACAATACAGCAGAAACAATATAAGATTGATTGCAATGACAGCTTGAATGGTAGTTGACAAAAATTGGTAGTCACAATACAGCATATGGCTAGCACATAAAAGAAGACAGCAATGAACACAATGATAAGGTTGTTTGATATTACATAAAAATTAGGAGATTGGGTAACACTAGGTACAGAGCAAATTTAAAGCTCAGTGTAGGAAACTAAGAAGATGAAGTTAGGTACTTTTTGGTTTTGCTTTTAAATAAGGCAAAAGTTTTACAGTTTTTCAATTCACTAGGGAGTGAGTTCCATAGACTAGGTCCCTTAATTTGCATAGAGTGTTTACACAGATTAAGTTTGACCCTGGGGATATCAAAGAGATATTTATTTCTGGTGTGGTGATAATGGGTCCTATTACATCTGTCCAGGGAGAGTTTCAGAGCATGGTTTGCATTTAAGAACAGGGTTTTGTAAATGTAGTTGACACAAGAGAATGTGTGGAGGGAGTTAATATTTAGCAAGTTTAGGGATTTAAACAAGGGAGCTGAGTGTTGTCTGAAAGCAGAGTTAGTTATTATTCTGATAGCAGATTTTTGCTGTGTGATGATGGGCTTAAGGTGGTTTGCAGTGGTAGACCCCCATGCACAGATACCATAATTAAGATAGGGGTAGATTAGTGCATAATATAGTGAGAGGAGAGCAGAGTTAGGAACATAATATCTGATTTTGGAGAGTATACCAACTGTCTTAGAGACTTTCTTAGTTATGTGTTGAATGTGGGTGCTGAAGTTGAGTCTCTTGTCTAGGAATAGGCCAAGAAACTTGCCATCATTTTTATTACTGATGTTAATGTTGTCTATCTGTAGCTGAATTGCATTTGATGATTTGCTTCCAAATAAGATGTAGTAAGTCTTTTCGATGTTTAATGTTAGTTTGTTCGTTGACATCCATAAGTGGACTTTTTTTAATTCATTATTCACAACATTATTTAGTGTATGTGGGTTGAGGTTTGAGTAGATAAGGGTAGTATCGTCAGCAAACAATATAGGTTTGAGAATATTAGAGACATTAGGCAGATCGTTTATATATATAAGAAATAGAAGAGGTCCTAAGATGCTGCCCTGTGGCACTCCAACGGTAATTGGTAGAGTGGAAGAAGTTGTATCATTGATGGTTACATATTGGTGTCTGTCACTAAGATAGGATCGGATGTAGTCAAGGGCAAGGCCTCGGATTCCATAATGCTGGAGTTTAAGTAAGAGGTAGTTGTGATTAACAGTATCAAAGGCTTTTCTTAGGTCAATGAAGAGTCCAATCGGAAACTCATTTTTGTCAAGGGCTGAGTAGATAATGTCAAGGAGACTAATGATTGCATCATTGGTACTCTTTTGGGACCGGAAGCCAAACTGGCAGGGGCTGAGTATGTCGAATTTTACGAGGTAGGAATAGAGCTGTTTGTAAATAATTTTTTCAAATATTTTTGATAGAATGGGTAGATTTGATATTGGTCTATAATTGTTTATGTCCGCCGGATTGCCTCCTTTATGGACTGGCGTTACTCTTGCTTTTTTGAGGATATCAGGGAAGGTGTGATACTCTATAGATTTGTTGAACAGTAGTGCTATGGGTGG